AAGACACTTAGTAGAATAAAATTAAAATTTTTTATGAATTAAAAATTATAATAAATTTAATCTCGTATTTAAAAAATTAAAAAATAAGATTGAAATAATCTGAATATTAGAGTGAGCAAAATTCAATTTTTAACCAACAAAAAACCCACAAAATTATTACAATAATATCAACAACTCGATAGTGGTATTATTTGCCATACCGCCCAGCTATGCCCCAATTCACAGCAAGAATTAACACTTTCTGTTTTTCATAGTTTCATAAATATTAAATAATCTTAAATATTAAAATTACATTTATTAATTAGTCAAATATTAGCAAGAAAAAGGCAAATATTATTAAAATATAGTGATAAAAAGAAAATAGAATTAGAATGAGATAAATGTTCGGGTTTGAAGATATATGACTATAAGTGTATATAAATTGAACATGTAAAAGCTTCTTACTATGAACATATACACAACACACACATATCTGCACACATACAAATATGCACATCACAAGTGCAGTTTATATAGAGCAGAAAAAGTAATTCACTGATCAACGTCAACAAAAAAGAGTTCACAGTGCTCTCTTTAAGAATGCCCGACTAGGAGAATACCCAGCATCTAGGTTGACAGACAATGAAATGGGGATTTACTTTGACCCACAAAAAATATACATTATTTAGTGAGTTGGCTCGACTGTACAAATTTAAAATAAACTGCTCTTATTTGTAGAAGATAATGTTTTATCAAAGCGTGCGGGGACTTCGAGAAAGGAGAGTACGATTGAATTTGAATTGAATTAGCTCAAGTTTATCTCAACTGAATTGGGGAATGTATGAATTGTTTGAAGGTGCTCTAGCCCCTTTCCAGTGATACCCGCTTTACACAAGTATGTTAAAGCCAGGGTGTAAACAACAACACAAATCGTAATTACGGTTAAAAAAACTTGGTGCCAGTACGTTGTTGAATTTCCACCAGTTTCTGTCAGTCTGAAAATGACTTTCAGGAAAAGTGTTGCAAGTGAAGACACAATGAAAATTTGTTTGTTATATTTTGCCGTTATACACCTCTCCCGGGCGAGTGCGTACGACGGGATTGATTTTAGTGTAAATGATATTATGAACACTCAAATGATGCCTTTCCACATATTTGTTTATGAGTTCACTCCAACAATAAAAAGAAACTACTCAACTGACTTTACGCCTGCATTAGCTACAATGAACTATCACAGGTGAAAAAGATCTTCGGTCTCTTAAATCTTATTATTAAACATTGATATTAATCTAATTATAATTCTATTTCTAGAAAAATGATGCAGCAGTTCATGGCTTCTGACTACCTAACTAAGCAGATAATGCACTTGAATGAAGATCGATATAACCAAAAGATTAACAGACGAGTAGGCGAATTTCAGAATAAATCAAATTTATTTAATGAGGATAATCATTCGTTACTCTTCGACGATGGTTCTACGAGATATAATGCTTGGTTAAGGTAGGAATGTTGAATGCCCTAACTTATGGCTCTTCGTTCTTTGTGTTTTTGTAGTTTTAGGTCTAATCTGTCATTTTGTTCACTTGATTACTTATAATTATGTAAAATTTTCCTTATAGAACAACAACACTGGACGATATTCAACGTCAGTTAAATCATGCAGCAAACAATTTAAAAAACGTCGATAGTCCAGTTCGAAGACAAATGTTGGATCCTGCTGCAAAATCAGCTTTGGAGGTCTATGAGGCTGACGAAGATAGCGACTCTGGCGACATTACAGGCTACGCATACGACAGTTCTTATAATGACAGCAACTATTTCAATGCAAGTATAGCTTATTCAATTTTCCAATTCGCTATTAGAATGATATCAGTCGCAATAAATTTGTATTCCTATATGAATCTCTGAAGTGCGTCAATTTATATCAGAGTATAACTTCACTGCAACAATAGGCTTATGGGCAAAAGTTTGCTTAATGTATGTGCAGCGTTGCTATAAAATTCTTAAATATATTAGAATATGGCTCATTTCATATTGCACTTAAAGCTACATGGTATTTAATACTTCATGCCGAAAAGAGGTTCCAAAGGCACCCAACGTCACAATTAAAGAAAGAGATTTAAAAAACCGTGTCATCTTCTATTGCACTTGCCTTTCAAGTATAAGTACTCTAAAATATCATTTGCATAGCTGAACTTCCTTAAAAATGTCACTTTTAATGTATTGGTAATTGGTATTCAGAATTAAGAATGTCTGTCATCAACTATCGATCATCGATCCTTCATTTGGAATCATATATATCTATATTATTATTATTAGTATTAGTATTATTATTAGTAAACTTATTATAGCATTATAGCATATAGCATAATAGCATTCGTATTTAATTGAAACATTCATATTCTATAGCCTAATCTGTTTAAAATATCACAAATGCCACGAATATTAATGAAAGCTCCAAAAACTGGTGCTCCAATTAAGCAAATTAACAAAAGTGGTAAGACTTTCAAAACATATATTTTTACATAGTAGAATACATAGTAAAATACTTCTAGGATATGAATCAGGTTTTGAGGACCATGGAGTACATCACGCTCCACCCGAATCAGCTATGTCACAGCCTGCAAAACAAATTAAGGAAATCAGCCTTAAAGATATCACGGATATTGCCTTAACGACCCTCGCATTTCTGTCTTTTGGGATGTTCATTCTTCAGGTTCTTATGTGCATCACTATGGTAAGTGGAATCTCTGATTACTGAATTTTAAGTCATCAATTTAAATTGGAGACAGTAATTGCTTAAGAATACTGTTTAACAAAAAAACATCTAAAATGCCTCTTAATATATATATTTACTTGGTTAACTTTAATATTTAGTCTCTATCTCTCTGCATCATGGATGAATTATTCTATATATTTTAATTTCAGAATAAAGAGGATACAAGTAATTTAATGATGCTACCTATGGAGGCAACGGAATCAGTTGAACCAAGTGATGGGACAGAAGAGATACGAAGGAGGAAACGATCTGCTCCAGAAAGTTTGTCAATATTAGTGGGGGTATGTATCATTAGAAAAACCTTATATTTTGTTATAGTCAGTTTTATTGACATCAGTTATACTTTTTGGATTTTTATGAAGATATTATGGTAATGATTACGTTAAGTATTTAATTTAATACATTTGCATATTGTATTTAAAGGCAAATCAACTGACTCAAACTTTATTGACCACAATCGACCACTTATACCTAAGTGGAAACAAAAATGTCAACATGAAACATTACTTTCAACTTTTATGCGGATACGGTGCTAACAATACGAAATTGAGAAAAATACAAAAAATATGGACAATACTTTACAGGTTTGTCGACTTTTCAATATTATATACAAATATTGTGAACCAAATAACGAGCACCGGCATGTTACAATCAGATGGTGGTATCTCAGTCTCCTCTTGTTGTCTACCCTCAGCATCTCATATATCTTTATTGAGATAAGATTGAGAAAGTTATTATGTAGGAAAGTTTTACTTGGTATTCCGAAAAATTTCAATTTGCCACATAAAGTAAAAGTTATTTTCATTTCCGTTAGATGTAACAATTAAAATTTAAATCTGAAGTTCTGAAATTATTGCCAGTCTTGATATATATATCTCTGAAATATTGCTCTTCAACTATACATATATAACACTAAATATATAACACTAGCTGAAAATGGCATAGACACAAGCCCTTTGTCATGTGGTATAATTATATGGCAGATAATAGTGGACAATAAAATATAACTTAGTTCTTTTCAGATATGGCTAGTTACTCTGTAAGAAACTGCTTTTACCCCAATGATTATATATATTGTACTTATATCGTAAATAAAAATTTAGTAAAATATCTTGGAATATTTTATTTTAAATTTCTACGTAATACTAACTTTTTAATCTGATCAATATTTTTATATAACCAACACAGCTTGGGAACGAGTTGGTTGGCAGCTCGAGCATCCGAAGACTATTATTCAATAATCAAACGAGTCAGTCAGGTGTTTGAGGTCTGCACTTAGCTAAAGCTGGAAGAGGACGAAGGACAATAATTTCAAGTTAATTAATTTCTTTTCTTATTGTGTAAAACAATTTAATATATAAAAAATAAATTCACTCATTTCCAATATTGTACCGAAAATGGGTTTTAAATATATTAATCATATCATATAATCATTTCTTCATAATGTGTATTGTTATACACATTTATATATGTATATACATATATATATTTTGATTGAACAGTTCGGAAAACAAAAAATGTAAAACTCCTTAAAAGCGGTTCCTGAATATCGAAATGCGTTATCAACTCATTCTCTTAATAACCACGGTTAGGCGGCGACATCTTTTTACCACCAGAACGAGTAACACTACTGCTTCCAAAATTGGGTGTACTAATGAGTACTACCGGACTCTGTCTGGATTCATCTGAAACTGGATTTCCCGTATAGCATATATATCTTGAACAAAATAATATCAATTTTGTTTCTCACAGATCATTCTTCAACCTAACCATTTGTTGTATTATACCAGGAGTCTCCAGAGATGTACGCCAATTAAGAGACGCTGTGTACATGCGCCCAATAATAGGAATAACATACCATATTATTGATTTTTTATTTATTTTGTTTGTTTTTATTATTACTAAAGTTTCATTTGAATTTTATTTAAATTAAAATGGTTTTAGAAAGCATAGTTGGGGGTCGGCATAAAACGCGGGATGGAAGCTTGGACAGGCTGCTGAATTGACTGCTGGAGTTGATATCGCTGAGAAGTACATGTCGCACTTGTATAATCCGTGCCTTTGGGCTATTTTCAGTCGAGATGTCAGTTGCTTCTTCCACTTGGTTCTGCGGTTCTGGAACCAGGTTTTAATTTGAACTTCAGTGAGCCCCAATGATTTCGAGAGCTCCATACGTTTTGTCACGCTAAGGTATTTGTCCGCTTTGAACTCGCTCTCTAACCGATCCAACTGCTTTGCGCTGTAGGCCTGCCGCGGCTTCCGATCAATCCCTTGTTTTCTCAATCGTTTTCCTTTAATATAATATTTTAGAATTAACTAGTTGCTTATTGTAAAATGCGTAATCAAGGTACCTTGAACACTTATAAAGTGATGCAAATATGGAGGTATTGACAGCTTCAAGGGGTATTGTAAATTTGATTGGGTTATTTGAAACGAGGTTTTAAATGGACTGAGCAAATTATCTTTTCCTATTATATCCATTGCTTGTAAGGCCGGAAATGACCTGGAGAGGGCACTGTGCGAATCACTCCAATGTTCCCCCTTTTCAACTGCAACAATAGGAGATTATATTTATCAATCTGTATTCGAAACAGAATGAGTAAAAGTGTGATTTACTTAAATAAAATTTAATAAAATAACTTATAAATTATAGAAAATGAGGGCATTTTTTTGTCGAGCGCCACCGATTAAAGTTTTTGTAAAGCTCAAAAGGGAGCTCAAAAAAGCTTAACAGTGTAGTTACACATCCAAGAACCTACGCTGAAACATATTTGAATCATTTTTTCATTTGGCAAATCAATTTTCTACTCTGTCAATCATACAAATTCATGCCAGCTTTGGTGGTATTCAAGCTTCGTATTCTAGTGGCCTACTTTTAAATTTCAATTGCCTAGTTTGTAGACGCGCAAGCTTTGTATATGAAAGATCTTATATATTTCAATTTGTTAACTAATTTAAAAAAAATAGTACAGATATCTGGAGCTGAACAGAAATATTTTTAGTTATTTTCTCTCACATCTATAATACCCCTAAATATTGATTTTAAGCCATTTTTAGACATTAATATTTTTATACCCTGAACCCATTGAAAATGGGAAATCGGGGTATAATGGTTTTGTTAAAAGTATGTAAAAGGCAGAAGGAGGCGTGGTAGACCCCACAAAGTATATATATTCTTGATCAGGGCGACGAGCTGAGTCGATTTGGCCCTGTCCGTCTTCTGTCCGTCCGTCCATATGTATGAACGCGTCGATCTCAGAAGATATAAGAGCTAGAGACTTGAATTTGTTTTTCCTAGGTCCGTGTATATCACGCGCATTTCAAGTTTTTCTTTTATATCGATAACTACCGATAATTGATTATCGATCAAAAACCTTATCGAAAGCTAGTTATTTAATTATATCTCCTACACCTTTAGAGCTAGAGCTTGAAAATTTTAAATGTAGACTTATAAGTATTTTATATAATTTAGATTTTTTGTTGTAATTTACCGCCCACCCCTATATCCACCCCCTCACCCACACCTTTGTAAAAGGCGTATTTCAAGTACTGGAGACGTGTGCTTTGAAATGTACATACTTACATTGTACATTACGCCCTAAAAGTTTCATTAAGATTTTACGTCTAGAAATTAAATTATTTAAAAAATTAATTCTTATAATGTTGCACACACTACAGCGCAGCCCAACCGCAGTCGCTGCTTACTGCGCAGTTAGCAGAGCGCGTTCTAATACTGATTAGAATGATTAGAATATCAGCTTGGAGGGTTCAGGGTATCTCCTAGTCGAGCAGTCTCGACTAGAGCCTTCTTACTTGTTTTAATTTAAAGTATTAGATGCTGTTGGTAAAAATCTAAAAAAAAGAAAACTAAGGGTATACAACTGTAAAATTTTATGTTGAATTAATTAAATTTTCATAGCTAAAAACAGATGATTTTGCGCAGTTCAACAATATATTGATGTAACTGAACAGCGTGAGCAACAGAAAGAATCCTTTAGTAGTCCTTTAGTAGTAGCAAACAATTTTATAGACAAATTAACATGTTTTATCCTACCTATTATTGCTCTTTTCTAATGATAAGCACATCTCGAATGTATTCCCTTTCTGCTTCGTTTTAGGAATACGATTTTCATGGACAAATCATGTCATATAGTTCAGGTATATGTTTCCTCGATATACTTACATTTAGCTGAAGAGGTATTTGAGTTGTTTTCAGGTGGAGTCATATATTTTGGATGTGCACTATTTTGTTTTATGCAATATGGATGGGAATCATTGTTGCTGCACAAGATGTTATCAATACTGAACGAGAGGGATCGACCCGAATCGCGATTGTTGGATATTTCTTTGGAACTAGTGACCGAGTCAACAGTCAAATTTTGTATATTGCACAATGTGTCATTTGGTTCGAAATCACATTTAGTATCTTCAGCCGATTTGGAGTGCAAGTGCTGCCGATTCATTTTCGACGATTTTAGCCTTACATGATTCGCGCATAACTAAAGCCGTAATATTTATTATTATTTTTCTTTGCATCACGGAACTTAGGCGCTGTTGTGATTTGCTCATCATCACAAACTTTTCTGACTCCGCCCAGGCATTAGCACATTGGCCAACAGCTCACACCTAGCTCAGCTGAGAACGAGCATCTGCAGCTGCAGCCAAACTCGACCAATCATAAGGCAAAGCGATTTCATTCATCTTCCTGGATTGGGCTTGGTCAGGCGCACATACATATATTATGTAGACCCCATTGACGAGATGCACGATATGTGTGCGTGTCTGAATAACAATGGGGTATATACAAACATACGTACATACATTGATATGTACCTAGCTGTGTCCACATATCAATTCTTGGCCACAAATGATATCGTTAGCATTTCGACTGCTTTTTATTGCTTTTTAAATTAAAGATGTGTTAACGATTTACTACTCTTTGACAAACAATTTGGACGTGCCACTTCATTTATGTAAGTGCGAGAGTGTGAGAAACCAGAGTATCTGAGGAAATCGCACCGACCTACCATACACATACATACAGACATGAGCACACATACATACACACACGTACACACACACAACTGGCTGTTGCCACGACGGTCTCCCAATTTCATGCGTTCTTTTTTGTAGGATTTGGCAATTAGGTGTGAAAATACACTAATATACATATCACAAGTACAAGCAGACTAGGTTAACAATCGCCTACTAGATACCCTGTGTTATGATAGATACTACTGCTTTCACTGATTTTCTGATTAGGATAAGTCGTTCGAAAGCTGGAATAAAATGGCTTTAAATATCATTAAAATGAATTAGATCATTTTTTTACATTTGAAATTTGTTCAGCCAGTTGGATAGCTGATGACTGAGTATATACAAAATATTTTATGTTTTTAAATTTCTGTATTATCTATGAATATTAATGATTTTTCACATATTGATACTCTAAAAATTCTTAAAGTTGTATGCAATACAGGGTATGCACAAAGGGACTAGGAGAGTGTATTCACACATATACAAGATGACGTATAGTTCGGCTACACACACACACACACACACACACACACAGACACACACATGTAAATATTTTATACAAATGAATATTTGTATGGCTTAACGAGCCGCACCTAATGTACGCTCAGACCTTAACAACTCAATTTGTGTTAAAGTGTTATTGAATAATGAGAATTACCTGTGCTTACATATGTATAATTAAGTAGATATATGTATGCATACCTGCCTATGGATATGTCATGCAGCTCGTCTCCGAACTACCAAGTAATATATGTATGTTTGTAAATATATAAATTTGGATTTAGATTGGGATAATTGGGGTTAAATTCGAATATTAAATAATGTGAGTAAAGTAATTTTTGTATATGTATATTAGACATACTTATATCTATCTATATATTTACAATATATATAAATTTATAAATATAATCAAAATGAAATCAAATAAATGAGACTAAACAAGGGTAGTAACTAGGTTTTTACATTTGTTATCTATAAGTACCACATATATGTATATTTATACTTTATTTAATAATATCTATAGTACATTAACAAACTGCAGTATCTTAAACATTGAAATACCAAACAAATTTGTAATTATTGTCAGCAGAGTGATTTCGTTTTTTTTTTTTTTTTTTTTTTTTTAATAATATCTATAGTACATTAACAAACTGCA